TTACAGACTTTCTATTTTGGTGCTTTCGTCGATCATCAACAGCATCTACTGCAACTCCATAAGCAATCATTTTTATAGCAGCAGTCATCTTTTGAAGGGAAGACAAACCAATATTTCCAACAACATCCTTTTTTTGGACAAAGTATGGATCATAAGCTTCCACCATGGATAAAATACAAACGAAAAGAGATCGATTCATTCGAAACGTCCTTTGAAATAAATTTGGGGAATAGGTAGGCGATTCTGCAAAATAATCGCGATAAAGTCTCTCATACCCTTCAACTCAATTACGAAAAATAACAGAATGACCTTGAATAGAACCACGACATATTGCAGAGTTGTTCTCAGTATTGAATTCCTCCATTGCCATAGCAGCAACCGCTAACATCTCTAAGTCATCATTAGAGTCAGAATCATTAAGCATCATCATCAAATTACCATTACGAGCCATAACAAAGAAATATGAGTTCAATACTAGTAAAATAAACTTGAGATGTATGACAATGAGAAGGAGGAGGTCTTATTTATACATTTTCAAAAATATGACTGTTGAAAATATAGCCGTTGAAAATATAACCGTTATAAATATGGTCATTATAAATATGACCGCTATAAAATTTAAAATTTGATGACGTAGCATGACATGACATCATTATGGCGCTTACGTGTTATGCCACGTGACATTTTTGAATTATATTATTAAAAGTTAGTTGAAATAGTTAGCTAAAATAGAGAGCATGGTTGGAGTAAATTTTAAAAAGTGGATTGCTAAAGTATGTATTACGTCTTTCTCTCTCCTTCATACATTTTTTTTCATCTTTTTGTTTTCTCAAAATTCAAAAAACAATAAATATATTGATCATTGAGTTTATTCTAAGTGTAATTATTAAAGCACTTCCCACACAAAATTTCACTTACCATTTTCCATCACACCTCTAGTGTGTGTGTATATATATATATATATATAGGATCCAATGTTGTATAAAATATGTATTTGACACATTTTGTTTGGATTTTTACAAGTCATATCCTCATAGTAAAGTTTAGTTATACAACTGATTATATAATGAAATTAAACCAGAAATTCATATCCTTATGCAATTGATTTGACAAATTAAATTTTTTTAATCTTTTGAAAATTAACTAATACAATAAATCATGGTGAAATTTATTTTCTTAATTAGTTGTGTACAACACAAAATTTGACGCTAACGATAGCTCATCAAATGGTTCTACTGAATGAATTTTTTTTACTCCGACACCATTTGGCCGCCCATCGGGATGACAATCCTTGCTCCGTCTATACTTGTAGACACCTAAATTCCTTCAGATCTCTTTTACCACTTGATTAAATTTTAAATATATTAATAATGTATCTCTTCTTGGGTATGTTTTTTCAAAAATAAAAATTGTCTGAATAGGAACCATAGAATTAATATACATATGACACTGAACTTTAAACAACATACATTAGGCTCAGTCTAGAGTAAACAAATGACTTGTTTGGTTGCCTTTTTTTGAAATTAATATGGTATCTAATTTATTTATCAAATAAAGTATTAGACCCGATTAAATAAAAAATAGTATAATTTAATATTTAATCCCTTCGTAATATGTCTATTAAACGAGTCTCAGGGGTTGTCCGAGACATTTTGGGGCCTAAAGCGGAAACCATAAACGTCATTTTTTTATTTTTAATATTAGTGATAAATTTAATTTTTAATTTTTTAAATAAAAAATATTAATTAATTTTTTATATTCAAGTTTTTTTTATCATATTTGAACTTAATAATAAGAGAGAGAAAGAATAATTGCAAAATTATGATGGTAAGTTTAAACTTGACTTTTTTGGGGGTTAAAACTAGATTTTTAAATAGCTTCAATTTTACCGCTGGTTTTTTTTCATTATTTAAAAAAATAAATTTTAGAGCCTTTTAATTTTACGACTGATTTAATAGGCCCAATCTATTTAAGTTGAAATATTTTTGTTTAGGTATGAATTTAAATTTTTTGTTTGAACTAATACTGTACACCTATAAATTATGAGCCTTCATTAAAGTGAGGCCTCAAAATTTTTTTTAATTGGACTTGTATTTTTATAAAGTATTTTTGTAGGACTTAAAATATTTATAGATTTAATTTTTTTACATGGACTATTTATGATAGTTAAAAATTTGAGATTTTCTTTAAAAATTGGACTTATAATCCAAGCTTTTTTGATAACATTGTAGAGCCGCCCCGACGAGTCCAAAAATTATACAATTGGTGATATCCCGATACATTAATAGTGAGGTAATCCAAAAAACAACAAAAGGAACACTCCAACCAAACAGAATTCAGGAGGAAGTGAATGGTTTTATTACTGTTCTTGGTTATGTTATTAAAAAAAATAAATGTCCTCAATCGACATATAATTTCAGTTGAAAGACTCAAAAAAGAGAACGTCTTTGTTTGATACATTTGCTATCATTTATAAATTTACATTCTGAAGTAAATGTGTACATCCCTTGTGTTTGGTGAGATTGGATCCATAATTCAAACTAACATATTTAAATTCGACCCGCGTAAAAAAATTTGTACAAACAAGTTCGGGTCGTCGGAATGACCCTAGCTAATAAGATTTACCATCCATCCACAAGAGTGGGTGCTAACTGGTTTGTTTATTAATTCGACGGATTTAATATAATTTTATTTTTTAAAACAAATTGGACTTATTAAACATACTCAAGACATGATAAAAAAGATATTTGCTCTGACACGTGCTAATGAAGAAAAAGAAATTAGACATCATAAAGAAGAAACAAAAGAGCATTTGTAGCAGAAGATTTTTCTATACCACTATATTTAATAAACAATTCTAAAACTCAAATAAATCATTGTCAGAGAATAAACTAATGGCTCTACCATTATTTTAACTAGGGTTAATTATAAAATGTCCCCTTGAAGTTTAGATCACATTCAATCAACTCCGTCTGATTTTAGTTTCAATAATTTATCCCCTCAAAGTTTGAATATTTGTAAACATTTTACCCCTTGAAGTTTAGTTTACATAAATTTGTCTTGGGAAAAAGAATGGAAAGTTTTTTGATGTGTGTAAAAAATTTCAAACTTATGGTAATTTTTTTTTCAATAAATATGAGATCAAGTGACTTAATTTTCATTGTTATTCATGTCGAAACTAAAAATATGAGTTAATTGAAAAATGTACAAACTTTGAGGGGGTAATTTGTTAAAATTCAAACCAGAGAGAGTCGATTGCAGCTTGATCCAAACTTAAAGGTTCCTTTTGTAAATAACCCTTTTAAATATAAAAATAGAGTCTCGATTTTAACAAATGATCTGCATGTGCATCTATCTTTGACAAAGCATTCTCAACCACTGAGCAATTCTTTAATGGCCATGAGGAAGAACAAAGGTGTACACAAAGGTGTGAATTGAATTTATAAAAATATTATTGATTAAATTTTGGGATCAAATCAAGAGTTTAAATGACATGATACTTGACTTGAACTTCTTTATATGGTGTTATGTCATTTGAACTCTAATAAATATTCCAAATAATCAGGTGTCATGTCATTTAAACTCTTGATTTAGTTCTAAAATTTAATCAGCGTAACATTACTCTCTGAAAAATTTAATTGAACTAATACAATCTCTCTCCCCAAAACCATCCAATCATGCCATAAAAGTATTTGTATATAGGACCTAGACATATCTTCTACCTTTGCTCGTTAATATCATATATTTTTAATAGCCTAACGTGGAAATTTTGTTGATTTATTTTTCTTGATGAAGTTTGAACAACAGTGGGAAAAATCAAATGTATTTGCTCTCTACCTCTCTCTCTCTCTCTCCTATGAACACCACCATAATGTTAACGCTTGCCTTCTAGTTTATCATTTTTCAACGTGTAATCTTAAATCCTATTAGTACAATAAAATAGATTTGGTTCAAATCAATGAAACATCTCATCTAACTGCTTCCTCATTAATCTAATCATTTAAAAGCCTAAAAAACTGTGTTTTATAAGTTTATACAAAAAAGTAAAGCATTGAACCTGATCAACTGGTTTATATATTCCAATTAGAGTCAAGAGATTACTTAGTTTGAATTTTCCGGAATTGAGTAGTTTGATTTCTTCTTAACTTTTTTGAAATCTTCCATGTTGATGTTTGGAAGCGCATGACACGTGGTCTAACACATAGTCTATATGGCATGACTTTTTATATGCAATTGTGAATGTATATGGACCACATAGTAGTATCCATGGCCTGTCACCAAGCACAGAATGAGGTGAAGTGTGAACTCGTCGACAATCTTAAACTAATGTATCGCTAGGAATATTTAGACTTTATCTGTTGGTTTAATTTTTCAAACCCGTTACACGTCTCCATTCTTTGAAGAAATTTAACCACAGTACCTCAGATTGTTTGATATAATACCCACCCCAAGTAAGCCAGAAAAGATCATAGAGAGCAAGGTTTGTGGACCTTCTTTCGGTTTCCCAGAAGTTATTTACAGAACAATTCAGCATGGGACCACTACAGTTAACAATTGTCACTTTGTAACAATGGCTGCTATATTCTTCTTCGATGAATACTAGGACATTAGACCTGATACTATCATCATAGGCCCCCTCAGACTTGCGATAAAAATGTCAATATCCTCACAACTTGTAAGCTCATCAACGATAAATACCCACCAACTATGAGCTCTGGTTTCACAACTGTGCGAAAGTCTCTCTGCCTCCCACCGACGGTCATCCAGTACAAATACCGATCAACTAAGAGTCTGGTTTCACAGCTCTGCGAAAGTGTGAAGTAACTCTCTCTCTCTCTCTTTCTCTCTCCCTCCCACCCACAGAGAACAGAAATGAAGTGTGTTTCTCTGAGAGAACCAGACCTAGCTCATTGTTAGCTTATGCTTCTAAGTTGTATCTTATTATCCCCAATGAGAAATTAATTAATAGTAACCATATTCTTTTCTTCAGGTTTTGAGAGATGGAACGTCAATTGTGCTTTCAAAAAAATCTCTCGCGTGCAGATGTGGATCGGAACTTGGAAGTGCCCAGGGGGGCACTTCATTTACCGGGTCACAACGGAGTCTTCATCTTGCGAGACCTGGTCGGAGCAACATATCGCCTTAGAGCCCCAACAAGGCGTAGCGGAAGGCGTTCTCTCGCCGAAGATTGGAAGGCTTTTTCAGCTGCAAAAAATCTTAAAGCCGGTCAGCAACTAAGAATGTATCGCGTAGGTAATGAATACTCGGTAGAAGTGGATGTAAAGCTCTTTGGAATGTCTGTAAGTTGGCGACCCCTCTAATCTTCACTACCAAATTTGTTGTTCTAACGATGTTTCAAGTGATGCAGTTCCAATAATACTATTGGACTGTATCTCTTTCACATTATTAGATCAATACATTTGATTAGATCTTTTGCCTGTGATAAGGAGAAAGAGGAGTTGTTTTTGATGATTATGGCCGAGGAGTATATATTGGGATGGTTTTTTGAGCTGTGTTGGAGTTTTGTCGAGTAGTGGTATCTGGGCTGCTACGCTATTTTGCTGTGCTACTGGGAACTATGGTGGTTTTTGCTGGGATTTATTTTCTGCTGCTAGCTGGAAGTTCTTTTTGGTTTTTTTAAGTTTGTTTGGTTTATGTTGTGAGGGAAGGCAGTGTGTTGTCTTTCCTTTTGCTTCTTGTAATCTCTATTTTGTTCATAAATAAAATTTTCTTTTTTGTTAAAAAAAAAATGGAAACGAAAATTCACTAGGGTTTAAGTTACACAGAATTTTGCATTTGATTGGCTGTTAGATTGATCACGGTTCAGCAGACCAGCTCAATTCGTACCAAAATTAGGTTCCGATCTGACCTCAATGGCTCAGAGAGCTGGTATACAAGAGATATTATTCATTGGGAGTTAAACAACAGAATTTGGTAAACTATGAGATTCCTTGGAGAGCAAGCTGGATGAAAAGCCACCCCCCCTCCCCCTCTCTCTCTCTCTCTCTCTCTCTCAAAATATTGGGATCTGTAGAGGTTAACGATTATATAATAATAGAATAGGATATGCAGAGGGTCTAGGATTATTTGAAGTTGAAGTTGGATTATTAGTTGTTATCAAATTTGTTGAATTATTTTACTATCTATTAATTTTTTATAATATATAACTTGTTTATGTATCCAACTTTTACCTAAATTTTAGTTGTATTTTATTTGTTATGAGTAACAACTTTATCAAAAGAGTAGAATGAATGATTTAATTAATATTTTATGTTTAAATGATAAAATAAAATGAGTTTGAGAGAAATAGAGAATATATTTAGTTTGGTTTTATTTTTGAACTAGAGAGATGTTATTATACTTTTTAGAGAAAGAAGTTGATGAGGTCCTTTGTCAGGATTTTGTTTTTTTTAATCCTTTTTGTTCATTAATAAATGTGATTGTGTGAGTTTGGCTTACTCTATCAATAGTTTTTTTTGTTGGGCGACATTGTAGTGGATTTTAGTCTTTTACTAGTATTATAATATTGTTGATCTCTAAATTTGGCGTCTTATTCATTTGTGCCACACTTTTTTTTATTGTACTATGGGGGCAGCCATTTGACTTCCCTTTCAAATTGTTTTCCAAATTCAATTTTTTTGTACCATTTTTATACACCACGTCAGTATGAATTATTAGATTGATGAATTTTGTTGAATTTATTGAATATTTAAAGGCTTAAATTATGCAACATTAGTGTTTCGTTTGTTACAATAAAAAGTTAGAATATTAAATATTTTAAATTTTATAACAAAAATTCATATTCTATTGTATCATTTATTGAAATAAAATAAAAAATAAATAGCCAATTTTTTTTAAAGCTCGTAATTAGTATATAATTATATTATCTATTGAAATAAAACTAAAAAAATAAACAAGAAGTCTAAGTCATTCATAAAAGAATATGAATTTTACAACCAAAATTCATGTTCTATAATATCATTTATTGAAATAAAATCAAAAATAAAAATCTATTTTTTGTTAAAAAATCATAATTAGTATACAATTATACTATCTATTAAAATAAAATTTAAAAAGTAAATAAGATGTCAAACTGTAATAGACACAATATATTTTAACTTTAATTGGAGTAATTTGGTAGTTTAATTTTATCGTTTAAAAGATCAAATTAAATCCAATAGATAATATAATTGTATACTAATTATGATTTTTAAGAAAAAAATTAGATTTTTATTTTTAATTTTCTTTAATAAATGTCATAATAGAATATAAATTTTTGTTGTAAAATTTAAAATATTTGATATTCTATATTTGATTGAAATATTTTTTGTAAGTATAACATTTTAAACTTGAGGGGTATATATGTTACACACCTACAAATTTCGGGGGGTCAAGATGTAATTTACTAACGGACATTGACCGTCGGGGGCCTAAGTGTTACGTGCGTAAAAATCTCTGGGAATCTATGTGTAATATTTCAAATGTTATAGAATCTGAGCGATTAAATGATAAATTTTAATGGGTATGAATGTAATTTTCAAAAAAAAAAAAAAAAAAAAAAAGTGATACGTTTTGCCTTTCGTAGTCTGGTGGTCCCAATACGTTCAGATTCTAGAATCACAAATCTGCACCATAGTCGACAATTGAATGCCACTGTGCTCCATAGACTTTCCCTCAAACGTGGCATTTGAAGATGGAATGATTGCCATGAGCAACCAAGTGAGATAGCAAAAACCAATTTGAGGAAGGAAATTATAAGAATTATTCATGCCCATGAATCAATTCAGTTGATGAATAATTAAATAAGTATACAAAGTATATTACTTTGGTTAGAAATACTTATTTAATTGGATAATAAAAATGATAAATCATTCACAAATAATAAACCACTAATACTATAATAATAACATTTAATTCTAATCTAAGAATCCTATCATAACTAGAGAGTACAAATAAAACTACTCACAACCCTCTCAAAGTTTTAGGAAAAGAAGATTAGCCAAAGGGGAACAAAAAGCTGAATCCCCTCTTATTTATATTTTACTAAGGCCTATTAGGGTAAACTGAACGACACATATTCCAAAACATGCGTCCAGACACAAGACTCTCATTCAGATGCAAACTTCTTAACTTGGGGTCTTTACTTCCACTACAACAATTATGGGTTTTAGCGACAAATTTTATAGTGATGAAATTATTATTATTTATGTATTTTTTTAATTATTTTGATAGTCTCCACCCTTATGACTTTAAATAAACAAAATTGGACCTATTGAAAAAAAAAATCTATTGGTTAATCGAGTGGTATAAAAATAGAATGAATTATAGAATCTTTTCAAGACATTGGATAAAAAAAGATATGACCCACTCCATTCTACCCAAAAATACTAGAGCAAACAAAACACTAGTAATCAGTGAAGTTTCATAGAAAAATTAGGTTCATACCTTAATGACTTAGAAGAGTAGATGTATAATAATATATGCTAAGTTACACAGAATTTTGCATTTGGTTAACCGTTAGATTGATCATGGTTCAGCAGACCAGCTCAATTCGTTCCAAAATTAGGTTCCGATCTGACCTCAATGCCTTAGAGAGCTGGTATACAAGAGATATTATTCATTGGGAGATAAACAACAGAATTTGGTAAACTACGAGATTAATCACGATTCCTAGTTATCTAGAAAAGATCATAAATAACAAGCTTCCTTGGGGAGCAAGCTGGATGAAAAGCCTTGCTCTCTCTCTCTCTCTCTCTCTCTCCCTCCCCGTCAATAAAATATTGGCATCTGTGGAGGTCAACGATTATATAATAGGATAGGATATGTAGAGGGTCAAGGATTTTATATTTGAAGTTGAATTCAACATGGTGCTAAAATTCTCTAATGCAAAAAATTATCATAAATTAAGTTAAAATATTGGTAGGGATACGATTTAATTCGTTACCCAAATCATGAGTGAACTCACCAATTAGTTGATTCCCAAAGAAAGGTGTATTTTTTCATTGTAGTGCGTGTGTGGTAGACTGTGTGTGTGAGAGAGAGAGAGAGAGAGAGAGAAGGAGGGGGGGGGGGGAGGAGGATGATGAAAAGAATAAAGGGGATGATGATGGGGATATAGGGTTATTTTACTTTAGTTTGGAATACTTCATTATACAAGATAAGTTTTCTTTCAATGAGAAAGGAGAGAGTAAAATTAGAGTTTTTATGTATAAATTTTGCTGATCTAATCTCCTCCTTTTTTAGCTATGGAGAGGAATTGGCCCGTAAATTTAATCAAAATCAAGGGATAAATTTTTCAGCCAATTAAAATTAACCATCTCGACAATTTTTTATTTTATTATTCCTTAAATTATTTGTTGCAAATCATCCTATTCAAAATCTGAAATGATAAAAATATGGTACCCAAATCGGTATGGTAGCCTTACTTATAAATACTTTAACCCATACTAGTTGAAGGGCCGTCTCAAGAGCATGTGAGGCCAAATGCGATACGTGTTAATGAAATTATTTATTTTATTTTAATAATATTTAATTTTTTTAATTTATTATTTTTTTACTTTTTGAGATTCATATTTATTAATTAAACTTTTTTATCCAAATTTTGTTAACGTATTTTTTTTAGTGATAGTATGACTTTTGATCATAGATATTTATAGAAATATAATCCATTGTTTCATTAATATTTTTATATTTTACAACCATAATTCATATTCTATTATACCATTTATTAAAACAAAATCAAAAATAAAAAGCAAATTTTTTTTAAAAGCTCGTTATTAGTATATAATTATACTATCTATTGGAATAAAAACTAAAAAAAAACCATTGAAATTTATGCATATAGAAAGGTAGTTCAGCTCAATACATGGTGTAGGCAGCCTTCCAGGAACCTTACCACCAACCAAAATATTGTATACAAACGTAATGCACAGAACAATGATATCAACAGATGAGATGAGATGATTCTGGTATGTTTGGAATTTTAGATATTCCCCTTGGAAACAGTTCACTGAGTTTACAACTTTACATAGTAAGGTAAAATGAAGGAATCTTTTTCTTTTGTAAGGTCCATAATAGGTCAAGTAGCGAAATTTCAAAGTGAGACATTTTCGATATAAAAGCTGAGATAAGAGTTATAAAACTATAAAACCCAATGGACTCGTAAACCGGTACGAAACATCCAAATCCCAAGTGATAACAACTCCAGAATTATTACCTTCATAAAAAAAACATTGCAGCTCAAGCCTTTAAATGTGAGGCAGATGAGCCAATAACTTGATCATGTTACCAAGGATCACATTTTGGTCATGTCCATCATTTACATACAGACCAATGGATACAATATCTAGATGGAAGGTATTCTCAAGACTGACATCTTCAAACACACCTCCAATATCACAAAATAGGAGATTTGGAGCACAAATGTTAAGATGGGTGAAACCATCAAAGTTCATCAATGTCAGTCGCTAAAGCTGAGGGCAGCTAGATATCATGTGAAATATAAATCTTGGTCCATCGTAATGTGCTGAAGATC